TTTTAACTGTTTGACTGGTAGATAAAAGGAGTCAATCTCCAACAACTTTATAAAACTATCTCCAATCACCCAATGGACACACATGTGTATAGATATTTTTCAATTAACCCAGCAAAATCAAAAATCATTTGTTTGCACAGCAACTGTTGCAAAGGCACAATAGATGACCTGGGAATTCAAGTAAATAGAGAAAAATAAGCAGAATCTACACTTTTTGTGTTTAAGTCAGATTTTAGTTTGGATTTCCTGAAAGAGACACAGATCCTGCAAGTGCAGCTCAACATGATTCAGTGTATATGAAGAGGCAGCCACATGGGTTTAACTGAGAGAGTAGCTTTTAGCTTTTCCTTTTTCCTTAAGTATTAAGCCAAGGTTAAAGAAGGAAGACATTTCACTTGTACCTAAGCCCACCTATCACTACCCACATTTCCAAGGAGCTACATATTACTTACCCGCTCAGTAAAGGCATTCCAAATCAATGCATTTGCTCATGATACCTAACCCAAACAGCACAAATGCTTCAAGGAAAACAAATGTTCTCTTACTATTTTTCTTCAATTTTTAATTTATTTTTTTTCTTACTGTCCCCTCAGGAGCCAGAACCAATCCCCTCAGTCCTTTCTTTTTACTCTTTGCTGGACGACAATTCTTCAGTTGAAATGTATCATGTACTTATTTCAGGATAACCATGAGACCAAGAAAAACATTTCCTTGAAGCTTCTGCTTTTTTCTTGAAGTGAAAACTGTAAAATTCTTTATTAATGTGTTCCCATAATCAAAAGTAATATTGGAAAACAGTATGTTTCTCTGCAACCAAATATCTTCACTTGTGCATAATTAACCAAATGGGCACAACGAAGCAACTGTTTGGAACAGCACAGCTCCTTAATCTATAAAACAATAAGCAATTTTTGAATTGCTTTGAATTCCTTCAGATTATGGATTTACTATGTTGAACATAAGGGTCCCTTTAATTTTTAGGAAATGCATGAAAGCTTTCTGCTGTTTCTCTTTTGATAAAAATGATGAAGTATCAAATCACACACACTCCTGGAAGTACCTGTTGTTAGCATTACTGTTTCTGTCCCCAGCAATATGCCTGAAAAAAACATCTGCAAGCTGAAAAGCCTAGTTCAGAAAAATGAAACAAAGAAAAAAACCCCACAGTTTATAGTAACAGCTGATCCTAGCTGTAAAGGAGCAGATGGGACTCATCCATATGCTATCACAAAGTGGGAGACCACATCTAAGCTATCAGGAAAGTATCAGATGTTCTAACAAGACATAAAATATTGTATTTTTAAAGGCAATTTTATGCTCAAGAAAGTTACAGCAGTATTCCTGATGTTATTTACTATTTTTAGATGGGATAATTCCAAGTACCGATAGCTCAATGAATGTAAACTGAATTCATCCTAAATGAAGATCTGTATCTGCAGAATCATAACAAACCATGTGGGATTTACTCTGAAGAATGCTGAAATGCTCTAAATAGCTACAGAAGGAATTAAATAGGATACTAAGGGTTAGTAATACCATTACAATAGTATATAAAAACATTAAAAATCTGCAACTTAGTAATAATGAGTATGCAATCAATTTTCTTGGGGAAAAACCCTTTTACTGACCAGAAAAGTGGGGCAGTTATTCCTAAACTTCAGCCTTGTCTTGTTAAACTACCAGACTGTTGCAAAAGAACACTAGATATTGAAGTGTGAAATTTTTCTGCTAAACGGGTGTCATAAAATATCACTGAGAAGAAAGCAATAAGAAATAGACATTCAGTCTGGAAAAATCTGAGGCAATAAGGTAAAAGTCTTCAAGATCACAAGAAACTTGAAGATGGAGGAAGGGGATCATTTGTTCTACTTCTTCCAGTGCAAGACCTAAAGGGACGAAAGCAAAGCAAAGGATGTCTTCATGTACAAGAGAGGTGGTTGACATGTAGATTTCTTTGCTAAAGGATGATAAAATTTTGCTTCAGACAGAGAATGAATATGTTCATGGAAGATCTCAGAAAGACCCTAAGCCGAAAAAAAAAAGTGTAGTGGTTCTAGAAAAGCATCTCGCCTGCTTGCCCTGCTCACACTTTTTTCTAGATACTCTCTAACAGTGACTGTATTGGACATGTGTTAAAAAACGTATTCTTTGCTACTTACTTCCTCTCCGTAAAACTCAAATATTAGTAGGAATTGAAATATAAGGTTAATTTTCAGCAGTTACTTTCCCATTTAAAGAAATTATGTTTCTGTGTACCATGACACTCCACAAAGATGATTAGGGGCCTGGAGCACCTCTCTTATAAGGACAGGCTGAGGGATTTTGGTCTTTTTAGTCTAGAGAAGACTGAGGGGAGATCTGATCAATGCTTATAAATGCTTAAAGGGAGGGTGTCAAGAGGATGGGACTGGTCTTTTTTCAGTGGTGCCCAGGGATAGGACAAGAGGAAATGGGCACAAACTTGAACATAAGAAGTTCCAGCTAAACATGAGAAAGAACTTCTTTACTTTGAGGGTGGCAGAGCACTGGAATAGGCTTCCCAGGGAAGTGGTGGAGTCTCCGTCTCTGGAGACATTCAAAACCTGCCTGGACATGTTCCTGCTCTGGATGGAGCTGCTCTGGACTAGATGATCTCCAGGGGTCCCTTCCAACCCCATATCATTCTGTGATTCCATGAAAAGAATTCCTGTAGAAAGTAAGTAAATAATATCGAACTATAGCTGTTTGTCTTGCATGTATCTGGAGACACTGCTCCAAAGAGAGTGCAAAGTACAGTAGAAAATCCTGAGTAGCATTGGTAAAAGGAAAGAAGCTAAGAGAAGAAAACCAGAATCCATTCTGAAGAATGGTGAGAGGAAGGTGAAATACAGAGGGTTAATCTTAATATACTGAAAATACAACATGTAAGAACATATTGATCTGCAAGTTATAAAAATCAGTGAAACATGTCTGTAATATGGGAAAAAATTGCAATTTGATTCAACTGATTTTTTAGAAAAAACAAAGGTATATGTTGCAAGCAGCTGCACTTACTTAAATTGTTTGAAGTTGTCAAGATGTTTCAAGTCAACATTTGACTTTCCTTAGGAATTCAAAATTCAAGAGCAGTTCTATTCCACAGAAGTCTTCTTTAAAAAAAAATAATCTCAGTCTAAGAAACATGTCTGCAACACTAGGGACTTTGGTGAACCTGAGATTTGTCCTTACAGAAGGACAAAGGGATTGCAAGACTGTTTGCACTATTTGCCTTGCAAGAAGAGCTGGAGGTGAGGAAAGAGAACAGTCTTCACAGGCCACCTACATTATGTGCATTGATGACCCTAGTCAAGCTATTTCACTCCATCCTTCTTCCAGTCAGTGAAGAAATAAGCACAGAGATTAGTGACAAACTGTTTTCCCAAAAGCAAGGGGAAAAGAAATATTTTGATCTCTCCATCTTCCTTTAAAACAGCATAATTTTTCGTCAGCTTTTCCAGAAGAGGATCCACAGCATTACAGCAATGTTTCATTAGAGTCACATGAGACATCAGCAACTCTTTCTTTCCCCAAATAAACCACAATCAATTAATTAGATCACTTCAGTGGTGAAGATGTATAAACAGCTGATTAATGTTTAATGTCAAACTCTTTATAAAGAAAAAGAGGCAATAAACGGTGCACGAAAAAAACGGAGAACTCAAGGGAACAGAAGTCTTACTTTCAGGTTTACAGCAGAACACCTGTGAAAAATCTCCTAAAACGCAGCTGATTTTTGTAGAGAACAGTTTGTGAGAGAATTTTTGAAAATTTTAACACTGTTTTGACATCTTATTCTGTACGTGAATTGAATCTGGATTAAATTCCTCTTAATCTATCTGCAAATAATTTAGGTTAACATTTCATTATCTAATAACTGCAGGATCCGATTCTGATCAAGCCTCTGAAGGCTAGAGCAACACTGTTTAGAAAAATACTACACTCAGGCAAGTATTTGCATATTATGCTTATCTACTAAAACGCGTTTTTCAAAGATATGATGCAATTAGAATCACAGGATAAACTAGGTTGGAAGGGACTTCTGGAGTTCAGCCTCGGGTCAAAGCAGGGCCAGTTGTTCATGAACTTGCCCAGCTGAATTTTGAGTAGCTTCAAGGATGGACATTTCACGGCCTCTTTGAGCAACATCTTCCAGTGCTTAACCAGCCTTGGTGTAATCTTTTTTCTCTTCTATCCAGACAGAACTGCCCTTGCTGAGACTGCTCTGGCCCTTTCATTCTACACTTCTGAGAAAGGTCTGGCTTTATTATTTTTTCATACCTTAAACATTCTTTGTTAAAGAAAATGAAATACAAAAATTACAACCAGTGAATACTGGATTGTGTACAAAGTTGTATCCAGCTCCATATAATCAAAACTGGGCTGGGAACATAGGTCTGATAAACTCATTGCAACCTACAAAAACATTGGATTTGAAATGCATGCAATCAGTAGAGAATGACAAGCAGCTCCACCATTGGGACATCCACCTTTTCCATCATCTTCCTGAAGAAAGTACGTGTAAACCCTCTTGCAAAACACTTCTCTATCTTTGGAAAGGGAGAGAAGAAAGAAACCAGACACAACTGTCCCCATCCTCCAGTGTCACATTTGCCCAGCATTAAACTGCTAACATAAGCATCGATAAATAAAACACTCAGCTTCCAGTCTGAGAGGATTTTTATAGATTTACAAAATCATAGCGGTAGCACAATAACAGCCAACAGTTTAATTTGGTACTGATTGCAATTTAGGCACTAGTTCTCAATTATGCTGACAACTGAGTGTGAATGCATGTGTAGATGGGTTTTTATCAAGAATGTTGCTGTCGCTTTGTGTTGCCATCACCTTTCATAGTCTTAGACCCCTTGTGGTCTTCAGATAAGGGTCAAATGAAGTTTCCTACAAGCAGTTTATTAACATAGTGCCAGCACAAAAATACCTCTGCTTTGGCATACAAAAAATGTGAAAAAACATAGACATACCTGGTCCAATGCAGAATGACGCAATGATTGCCAGGATGCAAAATATACTGAGGTAAGGAAGCCAATGCACAGTTTTCTGGGTAGATAAAGAGACATTCATGTTAAGTATATTGTATGTATCACCAATATTTAAAACAAACAAAAAAAAAATCACAGAAAATAGATAGTGTTTTCCATTCTGTTTCAGAATTTAGTCTAGCATTTCTTTATTCAGACTTCTAAATGACAGGAACTTGAAATATGCTGAGTAATTTCTACTGAGTTTTCAGGACACTGTTTCTTAACCATGTATGTGAATGCTTAACAATAATACTAATAAACGGGAAAAAAACCATGGATTCCCATTCCTTTCTCTCTTCATCAGTGGATTTTTCCATTACCAAAGTGTAAATGCCATTTTTATTAGACTTTACTATTTTTGCAAAGTTAGTTAAGATACATATAACTGTAGTATCACCAAAACATCACCTTGAGTGGCACCGTAAAAATATACTTGCTAAAATAGGTAATTATTTACGTATTCAAGACCCCTATTTTCCAATGCTGCTTCTCTTTCAGTCTGTGTTACTCCTTTCATTATGTGGAAAACATGGTCTCCTGGGCATTAACATTAACCAAGAGACTTGAGATCTATCAAAATTACACATTTTGCGTTGCACACCTGAATGCAGATCCAAGGTCTCTAAAGGCACAGAGACAGAGAAGGTGCAAATATGGAGTAGATACAAGCCAAGCCAAGATCAAGCCATTTTGTACCCTGGTCCATTGTCCAAAGCACCATCTAATCTCTAATACTTAACACCTTGAGACACTTCTGAAAGGGTGTAAAGCCGAAAGGTTCTCAAACTTCAGAGGTTTAAAATAGCTGAAGGTCCTTACACATCAAACTAGGTTTTTTACAAGATTTGGAAGGGAATTTTTCACTCAGCATACAAAACTGGCAGCAACATCCCTCTTCTGGAGAACTGTCTTATAGTTGTCATGACAGGTATGTGGAGTAAAGCTTTATTGTGCTGTACTTACAGGTCAGTCAAATCAAACTTACTGGCATATTGCTAGTCAAACTGACTTACTGACTCTCCTCAACCAGGAAACAAGATTTGGAAGTCAGATTAATGGCATGACATGGGAATCAATGGCAGCAGAAAAACAGCTTGATAAAAGACCACCCAAAACCATACCATTGCAGACTGTTAGCTGTACTTCTCAAAAGCACTCAGGAACAGATAGAAACTGCATCATTATGAAAACAGAAGCTAAACAAGGAAAAATGTCTCAAGGCCAGTATTTAGAAGGGTTTAATAATACTCCTCTGACCATTTGAAATAACTGGGGAACTGACTGATGATAATATCTGAGAACTTAAATGCAGGTGTTCTGCAAAGGCTAAGTCTTTATATTTTCAGTAAAAATATCAGAAATATAACTTGAAAGAAACATCAAACATGGAAATCTTTTCACTACTGGAAAAAACATCTAAACTTAAGAATAAGGATGACAAAATATGAAAGAAATCTCAAAATGACTGCATTATAAACAAAAATAAAAACACAGCATATGGGTAAACTATTTACCTAACTATGGGTAAAACTGTCTTCTTATGCATGAATCTTGGAGTTAAGGAGACCGAGCATGACAAAGCCTCTATGGCTTTTTAATGCAAAAGCTGCTATGGCTAACCACAGTACTTTGAAATCAACAGATATTGTTTACAACAATAAGCAAAACACAGACATTTGAATCTTTATGTCAAGCTGATTAAAAGGACTGGCTTATGTAGGAATGCCGAGACAAATAGGTATTGAGCACCTGGTGTTTAAAATAGGCAAATGAAAGAATAAAAATAGGTAGTGCCCATAGTGTTACCTGTAAAGTCAGAGAGACGGTAAGCACTGCGAAGAAGACAATCATCAGCCCAAAACCCCCGATGAGAAGAGGCCTGCGTCCCAGCCGTTCAATAACTAAGCCCTGGAAAACAAAAAGTGGCATTTGACTTCCTTGATAAAGCACGGAAAGACTCAGACCATGTTATATGTTCTCCTAGTAAGTACAAACATCAAAAATAAAACCATGAGAGCTGATTTTATACTATGTTACGATGTGTTCATAATTGTGTTCACGATTATGTTTACACAATTTAACCTCTTTGAAAAAACAAACCAGCACAGCATCAGCATCCTTATTTGAAACTGCTGGAAAAAACTAGAAAACCATCAAAGCAGTACTTGGTATTAGTTTTACGCCTGGATTTCCTAGTACAGAACAAATATGACCATACAGATATGAAAAACATGTAACTGGTAAATTCAAGTTTCATGTTAGCATGGTGGATTTCAAAGTTACTAGTACATTTAACTTCTCGTGCCACTATTTAATAGTGAAATAAGCACTGTACATTAGCTATATAAAAATAATTAATGTGACGATAAGTAACTGAAGTTTGATTTATTTTTTCAGGCATAAATCATCACAGAATCATAGAATGGTTATAGCTAGAAGGGACTTTAAAAACCATCCAGTTCCAACTTCCCTGCCATGGGCAGGAACACCTCCCACTAGCCCAATCCAGTCTGCTCTTGAACACTTCCAGGGACTGGGGAGAGGGGAAATAAAAAAAATAATTGTACATTGAATAAATGGCTATTTCTTAATTTCAACATCTCTCTGAATTTAAGCTTAAAAAGTTTAACATTCAAGATTAAAAGTTTTTTAGCACAGATTTATTTTTTTAATTAATCTAAAATTTATTTTTAATTTCTTTTTCTGTCCTAACACAGAAAAAAACATTCAGTTGTGATGTAATTGTATTGTACTGCAATTACAATAGTTAGATAAAATAAATCTATCTGCCAGAAAACTTTGCTCAGACAAGGTATGGTAACACTGATGCTTGTGCACTCATGGACTTTTTGAATTTATACTTAGCACCTGAACATAAATCAGCTTCACTAAAAGCAATGAGAAATTCTGTATACTTATCTGCTAAAGAAGAGCACTATGAAGAGTTTCTTGAAAAGTTGTAATATGAAACTATCTTTAGTTTAGTAATATGAAACTATCTTTAAATGGCTTTAATATTAGCCATTAAAGTAGGCTAATATATATGTTAGGTCATGACATCAAACATACTATCCCCATTGATAACTACTATAACTATGGATTACACTTGGCTTTCTTGTGAGAAGGATAAAACAATTTTATGAAGCCCAAAACGTACCACTTCAAATAAGTTCAAGTCAGAAACAGTCAACTGTTTGCCACATCATTGCTTACTGGAGACTGAAATCCCCCTTTCACACCTTCCTCAAGAAAAAGGTAAAATCAGCAACTAAAATGAAACCTGGAGTAACAGCCTTAATTCTGGAAGACATAGCGAGCGCCTAGAAGAAACGTGTTAAAGGAAAGTACAAAGTCACCCGGGCAAGAAACGCCTTGTGCAGAGAACGCTTCATCCACAGCACCAGATCCACCAGCAGATGTTAGGACCCAGCTGAGCTGGACTTCCACATCTCAGACACGCACCGTGACGCTGCACAACATGGAAAGCAGCTCTGGGGCGAGCTTTAGCTTGCTTTATTTCTTTGAATGAGGAAATATACTCATTTTGACAGCTTCCACAGCCTCCATAATACAATTTATTTCAGAGCCGTGTTTAAAATAGGCCCACACTGATGTTATTAACATATCACATTGTGCTCACGGGGTCCAGATGTTCCAAAGCTGCAATGGCTGCACCATCAAAACCTCTACAAGATGCCAAGTATTTTCCGCTATGATTAAACAATTAATCTTGCAAACACATGTGGCCACACACACACTTAACCAAGAGGCCTTTTCAATGGCTATGAGGGGTGAAACATTATTTGAAGGGTCCGTAAGAAGATGGAGGCTTCTGCACTAAATGCCTCACGTGTAATTTGATATGAATTACACCCTCAGAATAGATGCTGCACGTGTAATTTGACATACCAGGGAATTTGCCTTATTTTTTTTAATTCTGGATTGGTGGTCGTGACTAAACAATCTTGGTGTTACAGCAGCTGGTGTTTTTTATATTAAAACAGGGTAAGGGATGAATGTTTCTCCTAGAGAGAAAAAGGTTCATAGATGGCTCTCAGAAAGAGCAAAACATGGGGAAAAAGTGCTAGATGGTTTCTGGTTGTAAAGCTCAAAGAAAACCAAACCCTAGTAAAGGAGGACAGGAAGGACTAAGTCCTCTGAAAAAATGTGTGTAGGCACTTGTGCCTGTATGCCTTGAGAAGAAGTAGTCTGGACATATTTGGGCAAAACTAGGTGGGTTGGTGAGGAACTCTCAGCTTTAACTGAGAGCAGCCACGCACAGATACAGCTACAGCGGATGTGCAGGCTCCATATCCTTTTTACAGAAAAGAATAATAGTTTCTAATACATTTAAATTCTTTTTTATTCAACAACAATTTGGGAAGAAATAAAGCAAATGCATGTGCAGTCATTCTTTTCCCTGAGATGATGCCAGGTTTCCCAAGCATTCATCATTGCTATTTATTTAATACAGTAGCAATAAGGAACTTGAATGCCTCAGCTTCTGGGCACTCCCTGCAGTTTCTGCCCCAGAGAATTTACAATCACAATTCTTGGTTAAATTTCTTGTGATTGATGGAACGGACCAACATTGTTCACTGGAAAAAGTAAGAAATTTTGTCCTTATTCACAGGGATGCTGTGATGTACCAGAACGGGGAACTGTATAATCGTTTCCAAGGTTGATATGAAGTTAAGTACACTGACAACACTAAGACATCTAGGAAATACAGACTTGGAAGGCTTCTCAATTAGATGTAATTAAATTGCATGGTTTTAGGGAGAAAAATGCCTACTTCCATTTCAAAGTTAGGGATACCTCTAATTTGTTCAAATGTGTGACCTACTGCTTGTACCACCAGCTCCAACCCAACAAAAGACCTCTGCTTATGGCACAAATTCAGGACACCAGTCTCTGCTGAAATGGGACACTACACACCATCAAGCCCATGAAAAGTCAAGCGCAACAATCAAAACAATATTCTCTACCTGGATATGAACTGCAAAGATGTGGGCTCGTGAAAGGCAGAATGTGTGTTTGGGAAGAGCATGGGTCTGTGGCTTTGCTGGTCAGGAGGCAATGCAGAAGCATCCCAGGGCCCACTGGCAGACAAAGGTTGCTCAACTGGGAGCCAATCCACAACGGAAAAGTCCCTCAGGAGGCACCATCTTTCATCAAGGCCGAAAAGGTTTTTTGAATCGTTTAAGCCCACAGACACACCAAGCTATTTAGGTCTACAGTATTTCTGACTAAAGTTTGATTTCTTTTTGAGGATTTTTTAAGAAAACCTATGGCAATACATTAGTACCTCAAATTTCTCTGCTGAACTGTTTGTTCCCCTTCTCTTGATGGAAAAAACAAAGCTCAGATAGACTCTGAAGTTTCAGCAAATACTTGAAAAGAAAGGTCTAACATGTCTTCTATAACAGCAAGTTTCCCTGGTGAAAAGAATGCTGCTTTTGAGGTTATAAACAGACAACAACTTCATTTTTAGTTATGATTATACAAATCCAAAACTTGTTAACTTGCAAAACCCACTAAGATGTTTATGACTCATAAGAAGTGGAAGATGATTCACCAGTTTTCAAGTATTTATAGCTCTGAATGCTCCACTGGTATGCGCTGGTAACTGTTACCTATTGAGGACCTATAACAAGTCAAAATATATTATATGGTAGAGTAAATGAAATAACAAGAAATTTAGTATATACTCAAGTTCAGACAAAAAAAAAAAAGAATCTTACAACTGTTCTCTGTGACAGCACACTGAGTTATGTGCCAAATTGTGTAGGCTGATGCTTGTTTATGTGTTATCATAAACATGCACTTGTAGAAGCCTATACCCAAGTCCTGGTAATTAACACAGCTGAAATTCCTGAAAATGTGTAAAAAAATATTACAACCAAAATTCTCTCAACACAAACGTTTGGTGATAAAAAGGCAATCGATATGCAAACTAAGTTAACAGTTCACACAACTTACTTTTGTCTGGCAGGAAACACTTGTGAATAAAGTTAAAAAAGCAAATGTCAATCTTTTCCCTTGAGTCAACTGCAGATACCGGGGCTGACATAATGAAAGCAGAGTGCATTAAAAAAGACCAGACAAGCTTCTCTGGGTAAAATGAATTTGTAAGCATGTTCTACAGCCCAAACAGGAGGTCATGGAATACTATTCCCTACTTATTTCCTGGCCCTAAATTATACTAAGAAAACCCTATTAGATTTTCTTGATGTCTCAGCTCCGTAAATAAGTTTGATCTATACACTAACATCAAGAGCAGCCACACATTTTCTCATGTATTTTAGACATGTCTGATTAAGACTGTATGTCTAGATTCAGACTTAATGTGACACGCTAACGCTGTGTTATTTCCATTTTAAATATCAGGATTGAAATGGATAATCACATTTATATCACTGTCAGGTCTATTTATGACACAATATGTAGTATCTTGCATCCAGGAAAAGGAGAGGAACAGAAGACTGAGGGTTATAAACTATTTTTTTGATTCATATTTTTATGTATATCCACTAGTCTACTGTATGAATTATACAGTTGTAAAACAAAGAAATTGATTATTTTATTTAAGTACCTATAATGAAACTTACAGGCCTTGCACCAAGTTTGACAACATAAGAACAAGTCATAAATGAATCTGTGCTTATCCCGGCTCTCACATCAGTTTGCCTGTATCTGTGTTAATGCCACAACAGGATAAGATCCTACACATCTTCTATAGGCGCCAGGCAAGGGATTACTTTTTAGCAAAGGGTGGAATTGATTGCTAGATTTCTAAGCTCAGTCTGAACTATCTTGCAGGAAAGCAGCCTTAATCAGCTTCCCTTGGCAGTGAAATTTTCCATTCACTAAAGAGGGTCTTCATATTCAATGCCAGCTGGACCAGC